GAGCCGCAGATTGATGGGATCAAGGATTTACGGCACCTCCGGTCCCTCTGGATGCCTCGAGCATCCCACCCCAAAGCTTTGGGGATGCAAAAAATAATTATTTTTTTTCTTTTTCTCCCCATTTTTTTTCCTTACCTTCTCCTCCCGGAGTCCTTCCCAGCCATCAAACCTCTGCTAAGCAACAAGCGTCTGTTTCGCTTCGTCTCCTCGACACCAGGAAGCACAAAAAGCTCCCCCCGAGCCCGCATGGGGGGGTAAAAAAGAAAAAAAAAAATCCCTATTTGGCATTAAAACCTTTTTATTATTCGCTTCCAAGCGTTACATCTCTCACCGGGGTTCGCACGAAGCTCTGAAACCAAAAGTCATCCAGTTGGAAATAAAAAAGTCAGAGGCGGCGATAGGAGAAAAAAAAAAAAGCAGGAATTTGTACACGGAAAAGCTTTGATATAAATAGGTAAGAAAATATTTTATTTGTTTCAAGAGGAATCTCAAGCCCAGCTCTGTCAAAGAGACCGACTCCACGTCCTTCGTCGCGTTAAAACATCCGCGGAAAGAAATAAAAAAAATCTGTCTTCAAAATAGAGAAGAAAAAAAAAAACCCAAACCAAAAATTCCCAGAGCAAAAAATTGGGAATTCCAGCATCGAAACGCAGCAGTTCGGCTCCCCAACGCCGAGTGAAGTGCTTGGAAAAAAAAATGGGGTGATGCTCGGCGTCTTGGCACGGCGTTCGTCTGGATTTTGGAGGCGAGATGTCACCAGGAGGATGCTCCCCGCCGAGGGAAGGATTCATCCGGCCCAAATACGGAGGTTTCTCCCCTTTCTCCTCGCGAGGAGGCTGGATCGTGTAAACTTGTATCAAAAATTACCTGAATTAAGGCAGGGCTCGCTCGTCCCCGCGTTATTTCGGAGAGGGGATGAAGCTGACGGGATTTTTTGGCAGCAAGGAGAAGCCCGAGAGGTTTGCTGTGCTCCTGGGGGAAAAGAAGAGCCCCCCGACGCGGCGGGCGCTGGCGTGGAGTGTTTAAGGCACGTGTGGGTTTATTGCAGCATTTCGATGCCGGGGGTGCGGGGAGGGGGATTTAAGGGCAAGAGTGGGGTGTCCCCAAGCCCCCGCTTTGGTCCTGAAGGAATCGCGACGATCCCAGCAGCTGCTGGGGTCAGAACTGAACCCAGCCGGCATTCGCCTGAGCCTGGGTAGAAGCCGACCTGGAAAAAGAAATTAAAAAATGGAAAAAGGTTTTAGACCCTGGAAGGGACTGTGGGACGCAGGGAGGGAGATGGGGACCTGCCCAGGGGTCCTCTGGGGTCACCCCAAAATTTTCCCCGCTGCACAGAGCGGCCGGGGTTGGGAGGAAGAGGA